GTGGAGCCTGTACTGACCATCTCCTGTGACCAGCAAGACTGCCAGGGGAGAGAATGGGACACCAACTCAGCCACATAACCTTTGGCCTACCATTTGTCCTGCCTATAAGATGTGCTGGGGTAAAGATTGGTGCACAAATTGTGGGGGTGACCTACTAATTAATGACTGGCACAGCTGGAGACCCATACCCTAAGAAGGAGCTCACCCCTGGGTGCCAAGACCCAGAGATCTAGGATACAGATCAACACAACTGACAAAAAAAAGTCAATAAAATGACTCCTAATTATATTCTGCTGCGCTCATAGACTGCTGCCTAGCCCAACTGTCATCAGAGAGGTTGTGCCCGGCAACAATAGGAACAGATGTAGAGACCCACAGCCAAACATTGGGCAAAGGTAGGGAATCCTGCAGAAAAGGGGGAGCAAGGATTATGGGAGCCAGAGGGGCTAAGACATTACAAGGAAACCCACAGAACCACTAACCTGGGCTCATAGGGACTCACAGAGACTGAACTGTCAGCCAGGGATCCTGCATGGGACCAATCTAGGTCTTCTACATACATACAGTTGTGTAACTTGGTCTTCCTATGAGACTCCTAACAGTGAGAGCAGGGCTTGTCTTTGACTCTTATGCCTGCTTTTAGACCTCATTCCTCCTACGGATTGCTTCATCCAGCCTTAGAAGAGGTACCTAGTCTCACAGCAACTTGATGTACCATGGCTGAATGATCTCCATGGAAGGGACGCCTGTATCCTCAGACAGTGGAGAAGGAGAGGAGGGGTAACGGGGAGGGGGGAGGAACTGGGAAGAAGGGAGGTACAGGAAACTTTGATTGGGATATAAAAATTTAAAAAAAACAAAAATACTTTTATTAATTTCTTTGAGCATTCCATACATGCATACGATGTATTTCTATTATATCCACTCCCAGCTCCACCTTCAACTCTTCCCAGGTCTACTGCTCACTCACTCCCAACTTTGTGTTCTTGTTTTTTCTTTTTGATTAACCCACCAGGTTGAATTTGTGCTATTCATATTTTTATTACCATCCACTGAAGCCTGGTGAACCTACCAGGGGCCACATCCTTAAGGAAACCTAACCAGACCCCCATCAACTGTCAACAGCTTCTCAAGTAACGGTGGAGTTTGTAAGCCCCTCTTCAATCCCCACTAGAATGTTGATTGCCTTGATCTGCTGCCGGCAACCCTGGTTTGTGCCAGCAACCATGGCTACCATGAGTTCATGAGTGTAGCAGTCCTGTTATGCTCAGAATACAAATTCCCTTTTCATTCATTAACTCAGCTTCTTTTCATGTTTTCGGTCCCCATTAGTGTGACTTCCTGGAAGAAATGGCTGCATCGGTTTGCTATATTTTTTTTGCTACTTATTTACTTTTTTATTTGTTGCTGTTGTTGCATTATAACAGCCTATCCTATATGCCAGACAAGACCTTATTCAATACGTGGTTGCAAATGCTTTCCCATATTCAGTAGCTTGCCTTCCTCTGTATTCTTTCCTTTGCTGCACAAAGATTCAAGTTTTCTAGAGTCCATTTGTCTATTTTTGCTGTGGTTGCCTGCGTCTTTTCCAAAAAGATTATAATGTTTTGAATCTTTTCTACTGTTTCCTCTTAGGAACTTTGTGATTCCAAGACTTGTGTTTAGTACTATAATATAGTTTGAGATACTTTTCCTGTAGTATGCACAAATATTATTCATTTGACTTCGTATTTCTAATTTTCCCAGGACTAGTTGTAAAGGAGACCATTCTTTCTACCTTGGGTAGACTGAATATCTTTGTTAAAATCGTTTAACTTGATACATAAGGGTTTATTTCTGTTGGGTTTTTTTTTTTTTTTTTTTTTTTTTTTTGCTGCTAGCTTACACGCCCACCTTTTTGCCAATATGATACTGTTTGGATTATAGTCTATTTGTAGGTTTTGAAATCAGGATGCACTGAGGTATCAGTTTTGGTTTTCTTTCTCAACATTGTTTTGGTCACTTAACATAAAGACCACTGATTCTATTTGAACTTGAGGACTGTTTCCTATGTCTTTAAACATGCACCTTGCGAGGGACTCTTTGAAAACTGGCATTAACTCGGGCTGTGTGGACATTTTAACAATGCCAACTAACTCAATCTGAGAACTTGGATTGTCTTTATCTGTTACTTCCTTGATTTCTTTCAGCGATGTTTCATCAAATGCTTCTGTCTTCTGGGCTAAGTTTATTCCTAAGTATTATATTCTTTCTCATGCTGTCTTAATGGGATCATGTTCTTGGTTTTCTTTTGATTATTCATTATTAGTGCACAAAAACACAACTGATTTTGAGTAATAGTTTTGGATACGGCAACTTTGCTAAATCTGATCATTAATTATTACATTTGAGGGATGCCTTTTTTTTTTTCTTCTTTTTTACCTACTTATCCTGAAGACTTCCAACAGCAGCAGGATAGACATGGTAAAAGTGAGAATCTTCGTCTTGATCTGACCGTAGAACTAAGTATCATGTTTGCTGTGGAATTTACAGAGGTTTAAACCATGCTCCTCTTACTCTGTGATGCCAAGAAAGTACATACTGGTTTAAAAATTCTTATTAAATGTACATTATTAAATGTACATTAAATGCCATTGGTTTATGGCATTTACTTGTATGTGCGGCATCCCCTTCTAATCTTTATCCCTTACATTAACTTGGCCCTTCCCCCTCCCGTTGTTTTGCTTCTCAGTCCTCCTGCTCTCGTGGAGTGTGTTTGTGTGTATAAAATGTAAGGTAGAACATGCAGTATTTGCCTATGCTTTTACCCTCTCACGTCTTCATTTGTTTCCCTCTCTGCTGACTTAGGTCCCCTCCTTTCCCTGCACAGTCCCCTTTCTACTTCATATCTGTTGCACACACATATTCTGAGTCTGGGTTCTGCATATGGTAGAAAACATATGTCTCTGAATCAGGCTTATTTCACGTAATGCGATGAGCTCCGGTTTCACCCCCTTTTCCTGCCAACGCCACAGTGAGAAGGAGTAACATTCACTACCTGGAGAGAGAGGTCCTCTTGATGCTAGATTCATAAACATAACCGCCTGGGCTTCTCCCCATTGTAGTGGTCCACCCTGCTGCACAGCTACTAGAAACTAGAGAATGCCACAAAAGCCAGGCTCACGGTATGTGGTTTTAAACCTGATTCATGAGAGATTAAGGCAGATGCAGATCAGAGCGCACCCCCATTCCTCGGAGAAGCACTCACTGCTCCTGACACAGTGCAGAGCTCTGGGTAACTGTCTCAAGAATCTACCTGCTCTGATCTCTGCCCTTTGCAGCCCACAGCGGTTTGTGTGCTTGTTTTAAAGAACTGAATAGAAACTACCCATTAGTACTCCCATCTACTAAACAATTGATTTTGGAACACAGAGAAAAGGAAATCTTTCGGGCCGCTAAAATGAATTCCTTTTCCTGCTCTCCGAGATTTAACATTCGTTCTGCTAATTTCTCCCAGTTTCTGTTGATGGTGTTTGCTCTTCAGTTGCTAATGTAGTCTTTGGTCTTTAAGGCTCTTAACCTTTCATCTCCGGTAATTCGAGTGGCTTTAAGAACTCTCCCCCACTTTTCCCATGTCCAAAAATTGATCTTCAATCAAATTTTCTTTCTGATGGGCCAAGCTTTTTACCTGGGGTGTACTCAGAATCAGGAGGTTTCTCTCTCTTCTTAAAGTGTGTATTAATTGTACAAAATAGATATTTTCATACATGCATTTAACCCCATTTAGATGATAATTATCTTCCAATTTCCCTCCCTTTTCTCCATCCTCCTCCTACTGGCCCCCTTCTCCTTCCCAAACAGCACCATGGAAGCCTTTAAGAGCTGCTTGGCACTTTTAGAAGTGCTGGCTAGTGTTTGTTTTTCCCTCTTTTCTCCTTTCTTCTTCCTTCTCTTTTGTCTTCATTCTGTCACTCCCTTCGGTCTCCCTCTTCCCATCTCCCTCTCCCTTTCCATCTCTTCCTCTCTTCCACACTTTCCTTCTTTTGTTCCTGTTAGACTGTTACAGGGAAAGTGGTCCTTGGGCTTGAACCCCATGCTCCTCCAGACATAGAAGAAAGGGCAGGTCACAGGCAAGTTAGAGCCTTCAGGAATCCCACTTTCTCCCCTCATGTTGGGCTTTCGCTTTTTCACGACTTTCATGGTTGACACCGACTTTTGGAAGCGTGAGATGCACGACACTCCCGCAAGGTTATTCACTGTTGTAAACCGCCAAGCTAACCTCTGCCACAAGCTGTGATGCAAATTTTAGACATGATTTTTTTTTTCTCTCCATGGCAAACAGCTTAACCAAGAGCCTCTCGGTCTTCAAAACCCTCCCGGAGTACCAAGCCTGAGTCCAGTTGAAATTCCTTTATAGGATGCAGTCCTTGGTGATGTAATAATGGCACCCTATTTCCAATGCTATAGAAGTGATGGAAGTCCTTTCTCTGTCCATCTCTCCTTTAAAATAACAGTAGCATTCTTTTCACAAAAAGTCCAGCACATTGACTCCAACACAGCATCTTCAGGTATTTCTTTCAGGTTTTAATTATAACCGTCTTTTTTATAAAGGGAATTTTGAGGTAGAGCCTGGCACATTCCATTCACGCATTGCAGTGACGAATTCTTAGTGCCATTCGGTCACTTGTGGCTTTATTTTTAGGGGTAAATTTATAGTGAGCCCGGGATCACATGTCCAGTGGTATTCGAAGCATCTACAGCTGCTTACATAGCAGAAGTTCCGGGCTGCATTCCTGCTGTGACTCCCAGATTTGTGAGGACAGTGCCATGAGTAGCAAGAAAAAGAATTCATCTCGTGGAAATGTGCACACACATACATGCAGACACACTCAAATTCCCAGAGGACTTGCAGCATGCAGTCAGGAGCATCCTGTCTTATCAGGAAGTTGCCCCCCTTCAAAGACAGCGTTAACCTCTGGTTTCATATATCCCTGAATGAAATTTAATTAATTTTCTTCATATGGATATATACATTTCATATGTATATACATGTACATGAACATATACATTTGAATGATGCGTAGACATGAATGGATGTGTGCGGGTAACCACGTCATACAGGTGATGTCATAGACTTAGGGTCCATAGCACATTATGTTCTATCACATCCCCTTATGGAAATGCCAATGTGTAGTTGGTGTTGAAGACAACCTCGCATGGTGTGCCCCCTCACAGCTGCAGAGAAGACAGTAATAGAGAATTGATCAAGGCCTTGGCCGTTATAAAGACCTGATATCATCCAAATGCCCTCAACTCCTTCAAACCACACAAATAACCGCCGCCGTCTTTAGGCAGGAACTCAGACCCCGGACTTAGATTGCTAGGCTTCCTTCTTGCTCTGCTTCATCACAGTGTGACGTCGAGCAAGTGGCTTTGTCTCTCCGAGCCTCAAGCTTCTCTTCTGGCTATTTTACCAAGCTGCTGTGGGGACGAGATGAGATGATGTACATAAAAACGCTTGGGATAGTTTGGGGCTCTAGGATAAGCTGTTAGTACATGCCGGCTATTTTTTGCTCTTTTGAAGGAGGAGGCGTGGGGCTGTGCTTAGGCTGTGCTTGAGGCTGGCTTGAGCGGAGAGGTCCCACCGCCGGAGAAACAGGTGCGCTGTGGAAATAAACATGTGTCGGTACAAGTCGTATCCAGCAGAACACTTAAAATTCCTCCAGGATGGGCTAGTCCTCTTGAGCAAAGATGGACTCCAGCTCCAGACGTCAAAGATAATTGTCTCAGATGGAGGTGGGCTAAAATAGAGGAGAAAATTATCCTGCAGCATTCTGAGAACAGATTCCGTGGATCTCCGACTCGAAAGTTAGGTAGGGCAAAGTGGATGCGTGCAAACAGAAAATTATGTGCCTCCAAATTAAAAGAAAAAAAGTCTTAATCTACTAAAATTGCTTATAAGTTCACCTTAGAAAATACAGCGTGGGTCAACTGTATTACAGAGGCCAGGAGAATGGCAAATCCTTTGTTTGTTCAGGTCGTTTGTGATACATTACTGTGTGAAATAGTTGAGCATGTGTTCAAGGAAACGGTGAGGGCTTGGTGCTTCTCACAATGAGAGGCTTCTAGATACCCGTTTTTCTTAACCTTCTTTATGAGGGTTATAGCAGTGCAGATGGGGATGGGGAGAGGTTTTTTTGGAATAAAAATGGCATAAAATGAAAATACACAGCATTCAGTTGATAAGAAGGAATTTTTCAGTCGGGTGCTCATTATCCCACGGTTGGGGTAGGAATAGGCCTCACAGGTAAAGGTTTCTTCTCATAAGGAAGTCATGGGTAAAAGCCCATGCCCCTCCACCAATTTCATGTTTCTGATTATTCTCAGAATTCAATCAAGCTTGACACTTGTTAGTACAAATGGACTGGGATTTGGGGGTGAGGGGGAAGCCTGACCAAAGCGGCAACTCTCAGAGAGGGACGTTCTGTCACCAAGAAGCAAGGCAAGACTGAACACTGCAGGGCTCTTTAGTGGTGAGACTGTCTTGAGAGACCCCAAGCATCTGGAGGGTGGGGAAGAAGCAGGAATTAGAAGAAAGCTAAACTGGTCTGTGAGATTTTTCTAGCAATCAGACATGTAAAGTTGCAAAATCACAATGTGGTTTATTCTCATTGGCACCAAGACAAAGCCTTTTGTCGGGAATATGCTTAGTAAGAATGACCGTTATATCTCAGCATCCATAGTTTTTTTTAGATAATTTGGCTCACTATAAGATAATAGACTAAAAGTCAATTTCTCGCAGTTCTCAGGGCTGAGAAACCAAAACCAAGATGCCAATAGGGGACTTAGGGAAAGCACTCACCATAGAAGTATAAGGACCTGAGTTCAGTCTCCAGTGTGCACATAGGAAGCCAGTCTTGGTGGCCCCTTCTTAGGATCCCACGGCTGGGGGAGCAGAAGCAACCAGAAACCTGGGGCTCACGGGCCACAGTGAGATGCGAGCTAATGAGAGACTGTCTCTAAAGACAAGGTGGTGGTGTCTGAAGAGAAAGAATGTCCAGTTATCCTCTGGTCTCTACATATAGTTTGTGCCTCAACAGAATTTGTAAAAAAAAAAAAAAATCATGTAAGGGTGTTATCATATAATAAAATATATTCATAGTAATCTCTCAGTGTCCATGGGGAACTGGTGCCAGCTCTCCCTGACTCCAGACATCAATACCCACAGAGACTCAGATCCCTTGTGGGTAGGCCAAATGGGTGCTTGCCTATAACCTGCACACATCCCCCTATGTGCCTCCACCTACTAAAGTCTCATGGTATATAAGCCTACGGATATTGGGTCTGGGAACATGGAAATACTCCTGGATGTAGAGAGACAGTTTTATCTAAACTCTGCAATGGTTTCATAGCAAGCTGACCCAGTCCCGGTCCTCATCAATCCTGACTCTTTCTTTGTTTTCATTCCAGTTTTGCTGTTGTTGATTTTATTGTTCTTGAGATGAGGTCTCACCCTGTAGCCCATTGTGGGTTGGAGTTCTTAATCCACCCATGTCAGCCACCTCCCACCAAGTGCTAGGATTAGAGTCATGCACCTCAATATGCAACAAGCCTTTCGCCTCTTTCAGTAACCCCCAGCCTAGCCTTCAGGATACCACACCATGCTCCCTCAGGTCCAGCCCAGCTCTCTCTGCTCTGATACCTGGCTGCTGAATTTGGGTGGGCTGCTTCTATGCACAAACCACACATCCATGAGCTACAAGAAAGACCTGGAATAAATGAGAATGTTCCCTTGGCTCCCTGCACATTACAGAGTCCTGAACTTAACAACAGAGCCTTCTGGGGGCTATGCCTTCTGTCAGAATCCTGGAACAAGGTGGAATTGATATGGGTGTTTAACTCCTGATAGGTGTCCATTCGCGAGGGCTGCCAAGTTTGAGATACAGGTATCTACCTCACGTATGGGTGTGAAAACTAATCCCACTGACACCTAGATGGACTCTTGCTGCAGGTGTTCTGCAACCTCAGATGCCAATGGGGCACTGCTGTATTTTGCAATGCAGCCTGTTCCAGACACAGCTGGCTCCCCACTGGCATCTGGTCAAACAGAAAAGAAACACAGAGCCTCCTGCTGGCTGGCCATCTGGGGCAATAATTGCTCCTTGGTTATCGATGGCATATCTCTAAGGTGACTGTTCCTTCAGCTGGTAGGGTTGTCACAAATACGCACCTGGCAACAGCTGTTGCCTAGCCTCTGCTTGTGCTGGTCACCAGCTCCTGTGCTTAGATGACAAAAGTAAAAATGTCTGGGCATTTAGGAGAATCCTGGGAGCAAGGGAGGAGGGAGTAAACAGAATAAGGCAAGAGGCTCTTCAAACAAGGGTTTCCAAGGAGTGTGGTACATGCATGCATTCTTGGTTAAAAACAAACAAAAAACAATTAACACAACGCTCTTCCAGAACAATCCAAAAAGCTGCCTCACATGGAGCTAATATCTGCACATGTACATTGTGTACACATGCATACAGCTACAGTCACACACACACACACACACACACACACACACACCTCTTCACTGCTGTGGGTCCAAGTTTGAACTAGCAGCTGCCACCCCAAAGGGCATTACTACCTCCAGGCTTTCTTACATTTCCCCTTTGACCCTGAAAGCTGCTCCCCTCTTTTGCTACTAGATTCAGGCTTCCATTACAGGTTATTAGTAGGCTTTCACAAGACATTCAGATTTTTCCAAGTGTGTTTAAATTTCACAAGGCTTGAGTGTGAGGAAATTCAAGGCATCCAACACTCTCCAACTCTTAACGCTTCTGATAAAGGCCCAAGGCTTTCGTTAGATTAACTAACAACAGTTAGCAATTATAATTCCAGGACGAGCGGGAAGCGAGTTCATTAACTAGTTAATTGTGCCCACTCAACACAGCCTCTCAAACGTACTTCTAAACAGATGCGTAGGATTGGGTGAAATATCAAATGTTTTCTTAACTAATGTCTTGTGAATTCAGTCATTTAGTTTTAGTGTATAAATAGTGATAAATGATATGGGATTCTACCTCAAAAGGATACGCATTGGGTGGATGGATGCAAAGGATTGTGAGACAGCAAATCTGAACTCCAAATGTAATGGAATATTTAATTATCATCTTTTGGGAGGTACTTTTTATGTATCTTTTTATTCTTACTGAGGATTAAATTAAAACTAAGGCCCCAATTCTTTTTGTATCTTGATGTGGGATTTCCCTCTGTAAACTGAAGAACTGCTTTGAGCCTAGAGCAGAGCAGGGTGGGGCAGAGCAGAGCTAGGTGGGGAGTACTTGATGGAATGCTGGGAGAAAGAAGGGCGGAGTCAGAGAGAAGCCATGTAGCCCCACCAGAGTCAAACATGCTGGAACTTTGCCCTTAAGCCACTGCCACCTGGCGATGCACAGATTAATGGAGATGGGTTAAATTAATATATAAGAGTTAGCTAATAAGAAGCTAGAGCTAATGGGCTAAGCAGTGATTTAATTAATACAGTTTCTGTGTGATTATTTCTGTTCTGGGTGGCCGGGACAAACAAGTGGTCTTCCATTGCAGTATCTTTATTATAAGGCAGTGTGTGAGAGACGCACATAGCGAGACAACTCAGCCTAGGTTAGTCTTGAACTCATTCTTGCCTTGAACTCCCTAAACACTTGCAGGGCTTGCACTTCTATTCTCTTGCTCAGTCTCCCCCAGGCATTGGGTCCACAGGCCTGTGCCCCCAGACCCAGCTCAAGCTTTGTCCTTTGGTAAATTATGCCAGGCACTTCTGCCTGAGCACATGTTTCAAACCTTCAGTTGGAGGCAGTGAATCAACTCACATCAAAGTAGGATGAAATTCTAATTAAAAAAAATTATTTCAGTGATTCGGTCAAAGGTTACCAGGTAGATACCAGGAATCCTTGTGTTAAATATTATTCATATCATGACAAAAAACACCTTTAATCTCAGTTTATTATGTATGAACTATTGCAGCCAAAGACCAAAGGTATAAAAATCTCAAGGCCATAAGCACTCTCACTGAACAATATGGTAAGCTATTTCTTTAATAGACTTGGCAGGCAAATACAGTAAAGCTCAAAATCCACTTACCTTCAGTCCACTTCACAGAGTGCCCAGGACCAGCACGGTTATCCAATGACTACAGTTTTAGAAATCCTCAACACAAAAGGCACCACCATGCTGTAGATACATTTCAGTTGGTAGAATGCTTGCCTAGCGAGTATGCAGCCCCAAGTCTCCAGCTTTAACACTACGAAGAAGTCTAACTGTGGGTCTAACAGTGGCAGGAGGCAATGTTAAACTACAAACTCTCCAGTTTATCTTTCTCGTGCTCCAGAGTCTGATAAATTCTTGAACCTGTTAAGCTACTTTATTCCTTTAATTTTCCCACAATTAAGTTGTAAAATAATTGCTGTGATCATTAAGCACCCATATAATGCTGTACACATTCAAAGTGTTTTGCAATCATCTATTTTACAAAGTACATTGTTCTGTGTATCAGGTTTTATCATGTCCTGTGTTGGCTTAAGAGCCATGTTCTACATGATCAGATTAAGAAGTAATATATCAATTTTAGGAGCAAAGGTGACTCTTTGTACCATGTATTTGTTTGTACGCTTTTAACCTTTGCACAGTCAATACAAGCTCTCTGGTTTATTAGGAGCCAGAAGGAGTCTGGTGCCGAGCAGGGTGCTGTCTTTTCACGGTGCCTTCAGGCAAGCACTTGAACAGGGTCTGAGCTGTGCCCCTTGTTTAAGGAACTCATGTTTGGGAGGAGGAACCCTAAATCCTCTCTGCTAGAACTTGCCAGTTATCAAAGCAGGAGAGAACCCCGTCGACCACAGTTGTGCACAGCAGGTGCAGGAGAGTCATCCTAATACTTCCAGGGGATGTGGATTATATACAGTCTTGTGCAACATAATGGTGATACGGTCAATGATTGACCGCACAGGCAACGGTGCCCTGTAATATGTCACCTTATGATGAGATAGCCATCTTCCTGGGGACACAGCATATGAAAAGCACTCAACAATAAGGTCCCCGAACAATGCATGAATTGTGTAGAAATGACAGTACCTGTCCTGTTCTTCCATCCGAAGGTATAGGTCACTAATTCTTCCAGCAGAAAAGAGGGTCAGAGGCCCAGATTTGTTTGTACCTTCAGTCACATTTGGGAAGCCTTCTTGGTCATTGTTGCCACATGAGTCTCTAGAATTTTTTTTTTCTGCTCAAGGTTGACATGGATTCTCTATTTGATCCCCAAAGGAGATGGAGGCAGGTGTGGCCTTTCTTTCTCCAGAACGTGGCCAATCCAATGACAGTCGGTGATAGTTACTGCAGAGTCAGCTCCACCTTGAAACCGTAATGGACAAGGAACCAAAACAAGATTACTATAGGGATGACATTGTTCCTTGACCTCAGAGAAAGCTCTGTTAGATTTAGGTTTGGGCAGCTACTCTGTCCCTTGAAAATGTTCTTTTTCTCCTAAGCGGTCTTGTTCCGATGCCTTGACAGGAGTCTTTAACCTGCACTGGGGGCCCCATTACAGATTTATTTTTTTTAAGATTTGCAACACTATGTATGCTGAAATGGGTCAGGTGATGAAGTGCTTGCCTGAAAATAGTGATGACTTGAGTTTTACCCCCAGGGCCCATGGGGCCAAGTCTAACAGTAAGCATTTATAAACCCAACGCTGGGAGAATGAGAATAGACAAAATTCTTGGGGCTTACTGGTCAGACAGCCCCACCCACCTGGTGAAGCCCTGGCCAGTGGAAGAAGCTCTCAGAAAAAGCCATGGAGTGGACTCTAGAGATTGCTCAGCAGTGAAGAGCACAGGCTGCTCTTGCAGGGGACCAGGGATCTATTCCCGACACTCACATGCCAGCTCACAGTCATTTGTAACTCCAGTTCTAGAAAGCCAAAACCTGCTTCTGGCATCCACAGGCACCAGGCATGCCCATGATGTGCAACATGCAAACACACAGAATGTCCACACAAAAAATAAATAAACAAAATAATTTAATTACAACCAAAACAAGCAATGTGTGGTACTAGAAAGTGGCTCTGACAGAAAAATTCTTTTCTTTCAAGCTAAAAACTCCAAGCTTCATTGCCATTAGCTGCATTTCCTTTGGGAAAAAGCCAGATGAGCCAGGCAGTAGTGGCACACGCCTTTAATCCCAGCATTCAGGAGGCAAAGACAGGAGCATCTCTGTGAGTTACAGGTCAGTTGGTCTACAAAGTAAGTCCCAGGATGGGCTCTAAAGCTACAGAGAAACCTTGTCTAGAAAAAAATAAAATAAAATAAGCAGGATGCAGACACATATGCCTGTAATGCTGCTCAGGGGAGGTAGAGGCAGGAACATCCTCGGGATTGCCAAATGCTTGATTCCAAATTTATCAAAAAACCATATTTCAAAACCTGAAATAGAGATCAAGTAAATAAGATACCCAATCCTCTACACAAACACAATGTGCACATGTGCCTATGCACACACAAAACCTGAAGGTGGGTGGTGCCGGAAGAGTGGCAGTTAAGATTGCCTTCTGACCTCTGCATAGGCACACATATTTGCCTGCATACAGTAGCATTTACATACATGCATGTACACACACACACAGAGGGTGGGAAGGGAAATAGCACAGGAGGTTCTGTTTCTAACTTTGTGCATGTTACAAAACCCAGTGACACCTCCAAGCTTAATGTCATGAAGTCTCCAAGTTACACAGCGAGAAGATGCATTGCTACCTCCCAAATGACGTGAGTAGGGAGACTCTGAGAACATCACCTATCTTCCTTCCTGAAAGTGTCAGCTAACGAGAGGGAAGTGTGCCTCACCAAGAGGAGCCATGGAGTTTTACAAGGGGAAAAAAAATACTTTGCATTGGTATGGATCTTGGTTTATTGATATAAATTTTAGGTCAATTTTGTTATATGTATTTCTGATCATGACTAAGGTATTGTGTTTATGTAGCTCATTTAAAATGTAATGTATAATTAAGAAATATAAGTTAATAGATAGTCATCTGTAGTAGTTAAGCTTGGAGTCATATTAGTTAGATTTTCTAGTTGTATAGAGATATGTTTCAGTTAGATAGGTATTCTTCAAATCTTTCAGAGACCATCAGAATATGGCATTTAAATGTTTTAAAAATTAGGACTTTTTATGATAGTGAGACACATCTGATCCTGGCAACACCAAGCTACTTCAAAAGGAAGATGGGCATCAAAGAGGCTCCTTATAGAGTTTGTTAGCCATTTGGGCAAGAAACTGCCCTTGTCATAGTATGTTGCTTTTATTGGTTAATGAATAAAGAAACTGCTCTTCCCTAGACAGTTTGATGAACTGGACATGCAGGACCCACAGAGAGATGACTGCTGAACTTGCCTAAAGGTGAGATGATCCTTCAGGGTTCCTGCTTCATGAAAGAGTCTGCTAGATATTCTGCAGGACACAGAAAAAAAGTGACTGACAAACTGCCAATATAGGTGGAACTGTCTTTGAAATTTTCTGCATCATGGAAAAGTCTGCTGGATACTATGGACCTGTGGGCTAAAGACAGATGCCCCAATGGTACAGAAGAACTTTGGGTGACTGTCCAGGCAGCGAGACACCTCTGTCAATTCTAGAGTTTTGGAAGTTGCTTACAATGCACTTCTTGTTTACTTAGGTAATGTTATATCCTTCTGGAGTCTTTGATGGAGGTGAAGAATAGATAGATAGTTATAATTATAGTTTTCCTTAGTTATGATAAAAGATAAAGTAAATAGAAATATTGTAACTGTAATTCTTGTTTGATAACTGTTTTGTTATATGTAATTTACTACATTAAAATTAAAACCTTCCTTTTTATTTAAACAGAAAACTGGAGGTGATGTGGGGTTTCCCTCTGTATGCTGTGATTACCATTAATGAATAAAGAAACTGCTTTGGACCTACAGAAGGGCAGAACTTAGGTAGGCAGGGAAGATGAAACTGAATACTGTGAGAAAGGAGAAGGAGTCAGAGGGACACCATGGAGCTGCTGCCAAAGCCAGACATGCTAAAACTTTGTTGGTAAGCCACTGTCATGTGGCAATACACAGATTAATGGAGATGGATAAAGTAATATGTGAGAGTTAGCCTATTAGAAGCTATAGCTAATGAGCTAAGCAGTGATTTAAATAATATGGTTTCTTTGTGATTATTTCAGGTCTAAGCTAGCTGGGCAGCCAGGAACCAACAAGAGGCCCTCCTCCAGCATCAGTCTAATGTCCCTGAGCCCAAGCTGCATATCCTGGTGCCTGGCTTAGCTCCTGTGCATTTCAATAAAATGAGCCTACATTTCAAGGTAGGTTTTAGGCATTCTCCCACTCCTTCAGCTCACCAAATAGCTTATTATGTCAGGCATAAATAGATTGATATATAATAGGTAGGAGTAGACAGGCATCTTCTTTATTCCTTTTCTGCTCCTCTCTCTATGCAGATCAGTCTTTCTTCCTTACAATCCATTGTGTTGGATGGATTAATCAATCAGATTAGCCCTTGATTGACCCAATGGGATCCATTCTCTTTTCCTCTCTTCCCCTCTTCTCTCCCATTCAATATTGCAGGCACGTGGATGATGTAACTGTGAACTGTCAGAGTCTGTATTTTCAAATGAGCAGAAAGTCAGGGCCTGTGGGGACTGAGGCTGTAAAGCCAGGCTGACCAAAGCAAGCATGGAAGATGGGGCGATCAAGGGATGGTAGATGGTGATTGTTTGCCTTTCTGGATAAAGCCACCGGGAAGCTGGAAATGCCCTTTTCTACGTGTCTAATCTGAGTTTCGGTCCTCGCTCTGGACAAACTTTGTTCTGGAAATGATCGTATCCAAATGTTAACAGTGTCAACTATGACGTTTGCGTTTTCTGCTTTATCGGTATTTCCTTTTTATAAAATAATAACTACATTTTACTCACGTGATAAGAAACCTACTTCTATATAAAAATGATTGGGTAGTGATGGAGAGAATGTAGACCTAAGTGGCTCAACCAAAGGCCTCTTCCTCCAGGTCCCAATGCCCGTGCTGAGAACCTCAGGGGCCTGTGCTCGGTCCTCCACGGCACTTGTACCAGCTGACTCCTTCCCTGCCTTATCTCTAGACAAAAGGTTCCCAGGGCCGTGGCCAGGATTTACTCAGTTTCAAAATCTTCAACCCAGCATTACACCTGACTCAATGGTTATCACTTCTTATGGGTTGTTGACTCTATGGTTTAGGGACTCAGATACTTATAATCTCATCAGAACAACCATGGAGCACATGGAGAAGGCATGGCCACCTCCCAGGGCGACTGAGTGACGCTGCCAGTCTGACGTTTCTAGTGCTTACAAGAAGTAGAGCAGAAGAGAAAAATCCAGTGCAAACTACCCTGCTCCTACTCAATCTGTGTCTAGAGCAGCACCATCCCACACATACAGACAAACATAATAGAAAGTTCCAAAGAAGCCTGGACAACGTAGGGAGACCCTGCCTCAAAAAGAAAACAACACTGAAAAGAAAATAAATGAAAGAGGAAGAAACAGGAGGGAGAAAGGAGAGAAGACAGAGAGAGACAGAGGCAGAAAGAGGAGAGAAAACACTTGAAAGCATATAACATTTCACTGGATATATCCAAAATACTATCATCTCCACATTCTTTTTTTTTTTGGGGGGGGGGGAATTTTTCGAGACAGGGTTTCTCTGTAGTTTTTGGTTCCTGTCCTGGAACTAGCTCTTGTAGACCAGGCTGGCCTCGAACTCACAGAGATCCGCCTGCCTCTGCCTCCCGAGTGCTGGGATTAAAGGCGTGCGCCACCATCACCCGGCCATCTCCACATTCTTGATTAAAAAAACACCAGTTTTCTCTATTTGCACACTACGTCTTTGAGACTGGTCTGTTTATTTTACATGTGAAGCACACCTCAGTGCTATCACACATTTCGTGTGCTCAATAGCTGTGTGTGACCAGCGATGTCATACCAGAGAACACGGATCTGCACACCACACACTCCCAGCAAACAGTGGGTCCTGCAGTGACCCCAAGGGACTGCCTCCCGGTGCCTTCCTGATCTCTGGGGCACACCTCTGACATCGGTGGAGTTGTGAGGTCTCAAGGAAATTGAAGTGATGCAGGTGTGACTGCTGGCTCCACACACCAAGGAATGGCCCAGAGCAAGAGCCCCAGACACTGTACTTCAACAACAAACCACTGCACCCCGCTTTCCCTAAAGAGCTTGATCTTGACCAAGCACCTCGGGGATCCATTCTTTATCGTTGTGGTTTTTTGTTCCTTTTGAAGGGAATTCTAAGAAATATAAAGAAATTAAAATTCTCTGGAGCCTAAACAGAAT